TGGGAAGTGGTGGTGTGCGGGGTGTCTAAATGCTGCAAAGCGAGTGAGGTGGGAGGGCTGGGACCGAGCTGCTTATCTTGCATAGCGGAACCGTGCAGCAAGTCTGTTGAGCCTGTACCCTTGGGTGCGCAGTGAGTTGTAGCGTACGTGTTGGAGATGACTGTCATCAGTGACAAGGTGGTTATTTTTGTTCCTTAGAAGGGCATGGTATTCTGGGGTAGGCATGGAGAGGCCACTGAGCTGGGTAGCCTTGTGGGGACACGTCTGACTGTGTTGAGTGCTGAAAGCGAGGGGGCATGGATTGTGCCGGGTGTCTCTGTAGCCAGCTCTGTGTCTCCTCGGCAGCATGTGCCATCCTGAAGACTGCTGGTTCTCTTTAAAATGGAACATTTTGCCATCTGTTACCTTCTCGAGAGCTGAACCAAGAAGGTGCTTTCTGCAGGACTAATACTAGCTTTCTTTTAAAATGAGCGCGTTTCCCAGCTGTAGGTAAGGATGCAGTCCAGTAGTGTGATTTCAGCATATTTTTATAAGCTTCCAGAAATTGTGGTCAGCTTATACCTGTGCCTGCCTGATGTGCATGCAGTTTTTAGCTCATGGAGTTTACTTGTAGTTATCTTTGAAGTCTTAGATGTATAGTAAGGTGCTTTTTGTTTATCCTGGTTCATATGCCTCGGTATTGATTTAGGTCCAGTAAGAGAAAACAGTTTTCTTAACGTCTCTTCCATAGTACATCTTTTGAATAGGTGACTGTGCTCTCCTCTATTTCACGCATTTTTATGCATTTATTTGCTCTGATGTAGTTAAGCCCATTCGTAGGAACCTCCTTGTTTAAAACTCGTTGGGAGGGTTAGCGTAGGTGGAGGGAATGGGGGGTACTTCTGTAACCGTTCCTCCTGCTGGCACCTATGAGTAGTCTTGTTTGCTGAGCAAACCAGCAGTCTCTCGGCTGGTTGATAGCTGTGCTGGGGAGTGTGTATGTGTTTGGGGTCACGGAGCATTTTTTATGAACCTGCTCTGATGTCCAAGGACGCAGCATTTGAACGGAACAAAAAGGCTGTTGAAGAATCTGGCATACAAGAGGGGTCACCAGAAAGTCATAGCTGTAGCTCAAGCTGCTCATTTGTAAGGATTTTTTTTCCTTATACATTTGGATCTTAACGTTCTTTTGAGGTGCCTGATGTGCTCTTATAATATTAGACTACTAATCACCTTGTGAGATTATATAATTTTGGCTTAGTTCATAGATAGATTTATTCAAGATCATCCAGAGTCAAGTGATCGGAGAAAACAGTCTAGGTGTGCTAGTGTCCAGTGTGCTAGGGCTGTGAGCCTGCTGGACACGGCTGCCTCGGGCAGGAGCGCCAGGGTGGACGTGTGCGTGCAGGAGCCCGCGCTTGTGAACCAGGAGCTCGTTGTGCCAGGACGCTGAGAACGGAGTGAGCTTGCAGTTAATACATCCCATCTGAAGACACCACCTCAGCTAGCTGCTGCTGTGCCTCGGAAATTTGTGCGAGGCACTTGATGCTTTCTTCTTTGCTATCCTCTCTTGAGACTGATCTGCTGGGTCGCTACTGGAATTAATTGCTCTCATTTGATTTTGCACAATCGATAGAAGAGCAGTTTTCATCAGGTGGACCAGATCTGGGCTTGTTCTCTTGGACCAGATCAGCTTGCCTGCCTGCAGGGCACGCTGCAAGATTTGCTTGTTCAGTTGGGTGTTTTGCTAGCCCAATGGTGGAAGGTCCTTTTGTGGTTTAATGCAGCTGAATGCATTGGCTATAAATTCTCATCTCTAAACTGGGAGCCTGAGTTAGTGTGGGGGCAACGGGAGCAGGCTTGAGAGAAAAATCCCTGTACATGGTGGAGTTTCAGGAGATTGCAGCCTTCTGTGCAGCAGCTTCATGATTATCATCTACAATGTGTTGAAGGTTTTGGACTGATACGTTCCCACAGACAGCTGAAAGAAGAGTGACCTTGCTCTCATTAGCAGTGGTATTGATCCCTTCCTCAAACTGCTCGAAGAGCAGCGTTGGGCACGTCTTTTCCCTGAGATTAGATTCAAGTTAGGGTATGCTATGTCTGGCATTGCTGTAGCAAGCACAATCCTCATGTAAACAGTGTTACTGCTTCATAAATTTAGTGCACAGCAATGAGAACCACAAATGAATTTTTTTTAAAGGAAATGTTCTCATTCAGAAACTTTATGAGCTTATTTTTCCATGTCTGCTTTCTGAGTTATGACTGGGACACCTTTTTATAAAAGCTGGAGTGGTAAGATGAAAGAAAAATAAATTGAGGGGGGAGGGCTTCTTTAAGGAAACTTGATACCTTAAAGTCAGAAGTAATTAGAAAGTATTGCAATAAGACTGGGAAGGAAAGATAAGGCTATAGCTGAACTACAAACTCTACCCGAACTCCTTACTGTTTGGCGAAGCGCTGGACCAAAAGATGACATTTAGACCCCAGTGCGCTCTTTAGTGCGTAGTTTTCTGCATAGCTGTCTACACTGAGAGCAGCTTCCAAGCACTGAGGTAGAGCATGGAGAAAATAAGCTTCCTTTAGACATAATTATGTGAACCCAGCGCATCCATTCAGGAGGTAGGGGTTTAATCCTAAATAGCTGGGCTATGTCTGCTTAAGGAATGTTGACAGTACTTTAGATTGATAATTTAAATTGATTGCATAGCACGGGTCCCCTGTATTTTACCTTTTTTCTCTTTTTAAAGAGGTGAGAACACTGTGGTGTCTTTCAATATGGAATTTGATTAAGGGTGCCTATTTTATGTACTTGAATGCGCACCAATTAAAGCGTGGGGTTTAATCGGGTTGTGTGTACCCTGCTGTTTGTTTAGCCCGGGAAGCAGTCGGGCATGCAGCAATGGAATGAAGGTGCGAGCTGCAAGGTACCTTGGGAAGGGCCCAGATGGTCTGATTGCAAATTCAGCTTTAGCAAACGCCCAGCAGCGGGTCCCACTACTGACTCGGCCGCTGCTGGCTTTTTCAGAGTGCAGGTGAGCTGCTTGGCAATGGGAAATGTTTCTTAGTGTCGAGTTACTTTCTTTTGGGGATCTCGGTGCTTTTTCTTCCCTGATGAGATACAGGAGACCAATAATTATTGTAGAGTGTCAAACTTCAGCTTCCCGCATGTCTCCTGTGCTGCCTGCACCTGTGCAGACAGTTCTCGGAAAGCATCTGTGCCTTCTTGGAAGAAGATAGGTAGCCAGTCGGATTTAGGTTGCTGCTTCCGCAAACCAAATCACAGTTTCTTTATGGCAGTTACCAAGACTTGGTGAGCATGAGGATGCTCACCAAGAGCATCGTCTAGACAGATGAAAAATCTGAAGTCTTGTAAGTGAGCAGGGTTGATGCTTGGAATCAACTATATTAGTCCTCGCAAAGGTTGGCAACACATGGTTTAAGGGGGCTGTTTGCCGTCTCCTCTCCTTCCGTGTCACGCAGGGCTGACAGCCTTGCTACCTGGGGTAAGTGTTGTTAGGAGACTGCAGCAGCAAGCCTCAGTGAAAGCTTTGAAATGAATTTGCCTAAACTAGTCCATGTCACTTTTATAAAGACTCGGAGAAACACTTCACAAGCTAGCCTTGCGATGGCTGAGAGCGAGAACGGCCCCATGTCGGCAAGGAAACGGTGGTTGCGAATGAAATCGTCTCTCCAGTCATAATTACAGGGGCTTTACCGCAGCATTAGAATGTGCACGCAGCTACTTTGTTTTCATTGAAAGTTTTGACGAAAACGGAAACCACAAAACTAAGGCAAAGGTGGTTTGTATTTTACCCCAGAAGCCAGAGGTAAATAAGTAACCCTTTTATTATGTGCCTTTTGGGTGCATGTTATAATGTAATGCAGAAGCAGATTTTATATAGCCCAGACGATATGTGCAGCCCACAGCCCTCAACTGCAAGCTGGTAACGGTAGACCAAGGGCGGTCATGTAACTGGAGGTTCTTGTTGCTGATGCAACCAAACAAGCCCACTCTTGGGTTTCACGGCAGATGGCAAGAAGCAGAGGACTGAGTGTTTCAGTAGCGTTTGCCAGCTGAAAATGAACTTTGACTGCGTGCGGCTTTTGGGGTTCCTGACGAGCTGTAAAAGCAGTCCTCTCCGCCTCAGAAAGTGTAGGCTTTACCTGAAACAGCAGAGCCTTTCCTCTGAATCAGTACTGTTTGCAGCCGTAACTGAGACCTAATGAACGTGACGATTATCTCCACTTTGGCTTTTGTGGCAGAGGTGTGTGATACTTCTTGGTCTCTATACAAATTAACAAAGCAGAGTGGAACTATTAAAACTGGGGGGGGGGAAATGTAGTTTCATATGCAGAATAGAGTGCAAGTTGGCGGGTGCGTTTAGCTCCATCGTGGCATCCGCTTGCTTTGCTTCGCACTGTGGTGCGGATCTGTGTTTCAGGCAAGCTGCCCCGTGCTTTCAGACTGCTGCAGGTCGCTCACCCAGGAGCCCGGACTCCTGCAATTTCAAATTGCGTCCCAAGTTCTCCAAGGAGAAAGTTGGTTAGTGCTTTTTTTAAAGAAAATTGAAGTTCCCCGTGAGGTATGGTACAAGAACAAACTGTTGTATGAGCAGGTAGGTACTGCTCACAAAGGAATTTTAATTTCTGACAAGCCCTATTGTGCGGAAATCTCTTGTGCAGAAAGGCACCGTGGAAATGTGCCAATTCCAGAATTTAAACGCGCGTGGTGCTGCGGGAAGAGGAGGCTGGGCTTTCACAGGAGCTGCAAGCTGCCCTTTGGCTGCTTTTGAAAGGGAGACCCTCTCCAGCCGCGTATTTGCCCCGTTTCCTCCCTTCAAAAAAGCTGCCGGGAAAGAGCTGGGTTAAAATGAATCCTTTTGCTGGTGGCCGGCATTTCGGGTGGTGTAAAGCAGTCAGGCAAGCCTGCCTTCTGCGCTTGAAGGGGAATGCTAAACGCTTAATAAGTTGCATGTTATGGCTCCTGCTGGTTTGTAGCCTTTAGAAAAAAAGGTATCTCAAGGCTTTCTGTTCTTCTGCATGTTCACAGGTCTGAGGGATGGGGACCACGTTCCTGAATGCTTTCCCTTTCTGCTAGTACACCCCTCTGAAAGGTGAGTTGGACTGTAGGCATTTCCTGTGTTTCCTATTACTGCCCCAATTAATTTACACAGACCTTGCTCTAGGGCAGAGATCGAGCTGCGGTCTAGGTGTCCAGAGGCTCAGCTGGTATTTTTGTAGCTGTTGAGGGGGGGCCCCTGTGCCATGGTAGCTCGATGCAGCGCTGCTCCGCTTGGCTCTCAAGCAGCAGTGATATAACTCCCAATCTGGGACTTCTGACTTGGGAGTTTGATTTGTGCATTCGCGCTCTTTGGAAAGAGGAGAAATAGAAAGCCCAGCCTAGATTTGGGGCAAATGAGCTACGCTTGAAATATTTACTCATTGATATTTGCTTGCAGTACAGTGAAGCAGCCGCTGGCAGCCTGGTGGAGCTGGTTCCTTTCCTTAAGTTTCCACTGTGCAGGAATGAGCTGGGTAGTAGGATAACTGTGTTCCTCTGTGGAAACGACTCTATAAATACACCACTGTTCTCTTCCTTCTCTTCTTTTGGCATGCCCAGATTTTTCAGGGTAGTAGCAAAATGTCGGTTACTTTTTTTAGTTTATTAAAACTCACATTTTGGTAATTCTTATGTGTTGATAGGTTAACTAGTGTGTTTTGGTTTTGTGGATGACCATAACGTCTTTATTAAATACCCTATTTTTAATTAAATGAAGCTTGGTCCCCTGGCTTTTTTTAAGTGTCAGTGTTGGGTTGCTTTTTGTTCTTATCCCTGATCTCTGCAGTTGGGCTGTTCTTGTTTGTTCCGTGTTATGATTTAATGTTGTTCTTCCTCCACCACAAGAACTGCTTTGCAAAATTCTTTGCAATAAATTAGAGGGAGTTTTGTTTTGTTTGAGTGTTGTGGTTCAAGTGTTAGGTGGTAAGCCTTCTTGTGGAGGAAGCTAGAACCTTGTCTTTTATGACACTTTTCCATGCCAAAACCTGTATCGCTAATTGTTGGGCGGACACATAGCTGATAAAACAAGAGTGTTGAGGGGATGGGGCAGTGAATACCAGCTGCATACAGACATGTAGTAACCTGCAGGTGGTGAATATATGTCAAGCCTTCTTGGGAAAAACTTCCCTATCTATTCAACAGTAGAGGTAAATCTAAAGTTTTACAGTTAGGGGTGTCGGTCAGGAGTTCAGAGTCTAAACAGTCTCTTGTTCTCGGAGAGGCAGGGCTTGTGTTTTTGAGGGGTTCATCAAGGAACAGCCATGCCTTGCCACGTCCCTTCGGATGCTCTTATTCCTGCATAAGCTTGCAGAATGAAGGTGCTTATTTAGGAACATCTGCCCTCTGCACAAATCAGCCATTCTGCTTTAATTTTACGCTGTCTTTATCAGGAAGATAATTTTGGTAGAGGCAAGCCCTTCAGCTGCTTCAAGGACAGCGAGCAGGGAAGCTGGTTTGCTATTTTCCTCCCGCAGGTTTTTTCCTGCGTGCATCCACGCCTCCAGAGTAGTTGATCAGCTGCCAAAAGATCTGGAGGCAAATTCTAAGTGTTTACTGTATTGATAGCTCCCCATGACAAATGCTATTTCTATTTAGCTGTCTTAGAAGTAACCCTTTGTTCATGTCTGTACCCTGCTTTCCTGATAGGCTGTTGGCTTTCTGATGAAGGTTTGGTAAATATGGCTCATTCGGTGAACCAAAACACCTGGGAGGCTGTAGGTGGATTTTGAGAGTTGGTATGATCTGTTTCGAGCAGAGCTATGAAAAAAGTTCACTGTATGCTTGGCTTGTTAGCTGAGCAAGCCATCCAGGTGCTACTGGGGCAGCCCTAGGTAAGGTATCAGTTTCTAGCAGAGGAAGGATTACATCTTTTGTAAAGCACTTCAGAATAGAATGAAAACAAGTTAATCCCCCCTTAGACAGGGAGGGGAAACTGAGGCACAGATTGACAAAGGGCCTGGTCCCAGCTGACTGTGCTGTTCAGTACCAGAGCTGCAAGCGGAAGCGGGTCCGGAGTCCCACTGGGATATGCTGCGCAGTGCGGTGATGAGCATCTCTAAAGTTTACCTTGTGCAAGCAATGAAGGAAAGCCACTGGCCTAACGCATCGTGCAGCCGCCTTCCCTTTCAGGATCCACTTAGGTAATGTTATATTACTATGCCACCCACAGGCAGCTACCACGCTGCTGAAAAATGGTGTTTGCCCTTTGCATGGGAGGGCAGCTATCGAGTGTTAAATCTGTGATGAAAAACCACCAGTTTCGTTTAGAGTAATACCTACGGTGTTTAGATTTCTCAATCTAGTTATTCTATTTAAATTGCATTTATAGTTGTTACACCTCTGAATTTTCTCACTGTTTCCATGGGATGTGCTTGTTGCTTCTTCCATGAGATGGTCTCCTTGTGCCGCACAGCTGCTGTATTCCTCCTCAGTGGTGACTGCTGCTCAACAGGTGAAGCAAGCCAAGCTGCGTTTCAGTCTGAAGTGTTGGGGGATCCTTTTGTCGCTGTCGGGTTGCCAAATTAGGCTTTGAGAAGAACGTGGTTTAATCTGTGTCACTTTCAATAAAGTGAATATTATGATTTACCTCCAGGATGCGGAGGAGTTGACCTCTCCATTGCTCTGTGCGTGATTAGTACAGAGCAAACTGGGTCAGTAGAGGCTGCTTGGAGAATTTTGAAACCAGCATGTCCGTTTGTAACAAATGATCTTGAAACCATGATAATTGAAGGACATAAGCAAAAACGAGGCTTGTACATAGAGCTAATTTGTTATTAGACTGTCAGGAAGACAAGCTTTTTGGCTTTTACTGATCTGAGGGAAGGGCTTGTGTGCCTGAAAGCGTATCTGTACTGCTTGGTCCAATAAGAGATTAACTCTACTTTCAAACCTTGACTTATAATTTATAGTAGTGGACTTGGCCTAGTTAATCTGTTTTTTGCCCGCATGCAGAAACTGCCTACCAGAAGAATTTCCCTTGTGATGTTTAAACTCTCATCTGTGCACCCGTGCTATAAACTGCCCTTTGGGAGAACTGTTCTGTGCTGCTCAGTTATTCTGCGCTGTAGAACAGAATTTTAATATTGTTTACCATGCTCTTAATCTTATGGCTGGCAGATAAATTGAGTTATTTCAGCCTTTCCCCTAAGGACTTCATGGTGTTTCATGGACAGCATACCCATAGCATTAGGCGGAGTTATCTCAGCTTTGCAAAAATCCGCTCATCTGTTTTCCTGGAGTGAGTAATTGATTGGCCTGAGAATAAAATGTTGATTCTTCCCTGCTTTTATGAAAAGGGCTGGACATGCAGAGCTGGTGGTGCAGTTGGTGCTTCCTTTGAGCCCAGCCTTTCAGAAATGCGTGCAGCTGGGCTTGATGCAGTGAGGCAAGTTATTCTGATGGCTTCGGTTAAAGTGCTTGAGTGAAATCTGGCAAGCGGGGCTCAAGTCTCAACCTCCCCAGATTGCCTGTGGCATGGCGAGCAGCCTGCTTGTTGCTTAGCCTTGGTTTCCCAGCTAGCTGTATTCCTGTCCTCCACTTTTCTCTTGTTTGAATCTCTTGCAGGCAGGGGTAGTCTCTGACTACACTTGTCAGTGGTCTGATCCAGCAGGGACCTACTCTGGAGCAGGACTCCTGCGTGTTCCTACAGTCCCAATAACTTCAAAAACAGTGGTGTAAAGCCAAGGAGTGAACTAGCATAATGAACTTAATATTATTTATTGATGGACACTGTTATTAGCATCATATTAGGTCAAAATAAAATATCTTCTGGGAGGTTGTCAGCTGCTTTTGGTTTCATTTCATGGACGTTTTTAGCATTTGGGTGCTGCCTGCCTTATGCCACATGACTGCTATGTAACAGTCTGTGTTAACGTAATAACTTGTTCCTCAAACTACTAGATGTTTAACACTTCCTTTTCCCTTTCTTTGCAGTTAATGGATATGCTTTTAAGTGTGTTAGAAGAACATCCTTGCTCTCCTCTGTGTACTTTTTTCCAAGACAGCCTCAGGTTTTGTCTCACTGCAGTAAGAGCCCTGCAGTAGCTGCCCAGGCGCTGCCTCCTCTGTCTCTGGATGGTAATTTAGAGCCTCGCCAGCCTGGAAAAGAAAGTTTCGTGCCCAAGGCAAGCCTGCTGCGAGGTGCTGCGTGGAAGTAAGGTGCCACTCCTGTCTGGAAGGGTTGTCCATTTTGTAGCTCAGTTGAAAAAAATTGACCAGCTCTGTTTTAGCTGGACTTAAACATCCCTTAGTCTTTTGGAAGAAGCTATTTAGCATTACCGTAGAAGACGATACAGTCCTAAATCGGCAGCTCTTAGTGTCGTGCTAAAGGGCTCTGGGTGAGGGATGCTGCGAATGAGGACTCGAGCAAGCTGGTCAGCTGGCAATCGGGAAAACTCGCAGTTGAAATACGTGGCTTGCCTGAGGTTGGGGGAAAAAACCAGTGGCAGCTCGGTGCGTAGCTTCATGGTGAGTTAGTGCTTGGCGCTGGGGCTGCCCAAGCCCCGTCCTTGCCAGTCCACAGTGTATATTCCTCCGAAAGTGGTTAGTTTTCATCTGGGTCAGCTTTCTCGCCGCTCACCGTGCGGCTGGGTGAGCGCTGGTGCCCGGAGGGAGGTGGGGACAAGTATGGGAGGAGACCCAGAGCCTGGACTTTGGTCAGTTTAAGCTGCCGTGGGACTGCACCCCGGGAAGGATGCGGCCAAACTGAGCAAATGGGCAGAGCTAGGAGAGACGAAATGAAAGGGATAGAGAATAGTGTGGAAAATGCTACAGCGCCGCAGCGAACCAGTTATTTTCTAGTGTGTGTGAATTAGCTGCCTAGCTGGGGAAAAGCCATCCCCTTGCTGGTGAGGGTTCAGAAACGGGTCAGAGGAGCAAGAATATATTCTTAAATTGGTACAGTGAGCTGGAAGAAAAAAGTGAGCAAAGTGTTCAAACTAACAAGCCAGGTAAAGGCAGCGCTTCTGCTCACGGCGAGGGGCGGACAGCAGCACGGCCAAGTGGCGAGCTCCGAAGCGCCGCAGGAGCCGTGCTTCGTCGGGAACACGCAGCTCTCCCGCGGCAGAGGAATTTCACGCGGCTGTCGCAGGCCGAGAGTAAGATTTGAGAATACCCAAACACTTGGAGGGCAGGAATATCCAGGGGGGCTCTAGCATGTGTCGTGCTAAAGGAAATGGAAAATCCAAGTTTTACCTAGGCTCGCGTAGCTGCTGGCTTCAGGGAGGAGGGAAGCGCTTGATGGGATAAAAGACCGTTTATTCTACGGGGCAGGTTATCTCAAACTGTTGCAGAATGCAGCTCCCAGATTAGCCAGTCCTGGTTAATCTCAGCAGTAGGTAATGCCCTGGTTAATCCTGTTCTTCAGCAAGTGAATGCCTGTTTCTTAGTACACACGTAGATGTACGGTCCTGGGTTGGCCTCCTCGTGGAAATGCCAGGAATCCTGACTTTGCTTACTCTTGCTCAAACCTCAGAGCGCATTGCTTCTCTGATGTGCCTTTTATGCTCGTTCTATTAATAATCGGACTTAGTGGATTTAGTGTTGTGCTCAGAAGGCTCCTTCCTTGTCCAGGCTACCAGCGGTGTTGTCAGGCTGTGACAGATGTCCTTGGCGTACGTACGGTGAGTGTCTGGTGGGGCGCGGGCGGGCAGGATTAGTATTCCAATCACACGTACGCCCCTTGCAATATGCCAAGCTTAACACAGCCTGCGCAGGAATG